CTCTCTAGACTTAGATAGGATTTCCTGCCATACTCTGATGGAGACTGCACTGGATCTAGACTTTGGATCGCGACTGAACTCACTGGAACAGTGCCAACAGCAGACCTGAGGTAACAACCAAACAGGTGCCTTTCACACAAGTGTCGCGACTCTCCACAAACACAGCTTAAGTCCTTTAAAGCTTATATATGCCAACAAGACCACTTTATATTTGAACGATAACAACAAAGATAGTTATATAAACGTATCTCCGCACTAGGCTCAGACCAGCAGCAACACCGTTACCTTGGTGGGAGATGCAGTACTGAATCACGGGATCTGCTAGGCTTTATATACGATACAGGAATTGTAGATAGTAATGAGAAATGAGTCAAGATATAAGAGAGATTTGATGTACACAGAACTGCGGAGGTATGCCGCTGGTATTCATAGTCCTAGGCCGAGTTGAGTCATCCAGATTTGACCATCTCGCACCCATACTAGGTATATTGGTTTGTTCCCGAGGCCTGCTGGTCCTAGCACGTATGCTAGCCAGACATGCGCAACCACGTAGGTTGCGGCATATTGTCTAGTTCTCCATTGGTGAACGTGATACTGCCGTCCAGCCGTATCGACACGTCTCGCTCATTCCTTCGGTCCAAGCGTCTGTCATTGATTCTGATGACTATCTTGTTATGTGTGATTGCTGTCACAACACATCTTTCCATAATCAACACTCGTCGCAATCATTTCCTGACAATCTTCAATGTCTCGGCTTTCTCAGTTTCATGATTCTCGCTTGAACTACTGTTCGTGAACCAAGTTACCAACTTTCCATGCCCAATCTGTGGACTTCATGCATGTGTCTCAAGTTTAGGTGTTTTTACCTCCTCGATACAGTGTCTAGCTTTTAGTACAACCGACCCTTTGCAAAGTCAATTCAATACTATGAAGCCCACTGAGTCCCAGACACCGCACGCTAACCCCCAATGGTATAAGGATCAAACCATATTGTATCTAGAAGATAATAGTTCTCTCATGTCATGCTCGGAGCTCACTCTGACTCTACTTGTATATCACCGGATAGAGGCTCTAGTTGGCAACTAGAAGTGCAAAAATGCATGATTACACCGGTACACATTTGCGAGCCGTATCAGTGTGAGCCATAGTTATGGGGCGTGAGCCAGGCAAGTCCAAGGCGCGAGCCAAGCAATTTTGAGGTGCAAGCTAAGTCAGTGGAATAAGGTGTGAGCCAACCAAACCGGGTCTAAACAGCCCACCAGATTAATAGTCCACCAAAACCCACCGGTCTAGAGCCGTTATATTTGCATAGTTGGGAAACTTAAATCCACGTTGGGAACCGACCGATAAATTCAGGTTGTGTCTTGAACACCACTTCAAGAAACTAGTTGAGACTAGCCACCCTTGGGGGAACGGGAATTGAATACTTTCGTGACAAATACATTTACTCGTGGTTTCCTTGGACCTATACTTGTGTCCAAAAAGACCCGAATCTCGTCAGTGCATCACGGTCGTCAAGGGAGTGTGTTGGTGTCGGAGTCTGTCTATTGTCAGTTAAGTTGCGCTTAATCTCACTTTGTGAGTTAGGTATAACTCAGTCGTTCAATAGGGGAGATTTTAGCAGTTGCATATTTAGACTGTTGAACCTGAGCAACCCTTTCACCGCATGTACAGAAGGTGGTGGGCATAGCCTGCGAGGAGCCGGCTCCCAAAAAAGCCCCCAGGGGCCAGGGCTAGAAAAGCAACCACTGTCAGTATATCCACTTCTTGGCATTACAGACCTGAGCATACTTACAGAAAAGGCCGCACCCATGGGCTCTGAATCCGATTATGAGGAGCCGGCACCAGCTGGCTGAAAGCCTCGTGTAGTCGACCCTCGCTCCCCTCTGCCAGCACGCAAAAAACGGGTTAAGAACCCAAGAAAACCTGACAAACCTCGTGCCAAGAAATCTCAAGCCAATGATAAGCATGGAAAATGACCAGACTTGAAATCTATCAGTTTCAATATTCTTGTTCTACTTACTGAAGTAGAACAATGCTTATTTATTACTCTGCCCACAATGAGAGCCATAGTGAGGTCCGGACTGTTGGCTAAAGGCACTTCACAAGAGATTACATTGTATAGACTTGCCTGGTCACCGATACCACGAGGGTCAACGGCCAGGTGGGCTACAATGGAATTTCATGTAATTCCACGTTTAAATTGGGACATTAGGAAAGTGTATATATCAAGGACATAACACATACCATCCATCTAGACTGTGAATTCATAAGGGATCCAGATTGCAGGCCAAATTAAATGGGCAGAGTTGTTGGTGCAGTTGCAAGCACAAGTTTGACATTTGTGATATATCAAGTCACTGTAACTTAAATCACATGAGCCTGGATGCCTTGGAGAGCTCAGGAATTGTTCAGGGACATTCAGTAACACTATCAGGATCAACAGCCTGCACCTAAATCATCAAAGATTGTATTTACATGTAAATCAAAGTCCACCCATTCGGTTGAATTGGTGCATCGTGGGAATAGTTGGGTGACAAAGGTGTCATCAGGCAGAGATACAGGACAGCCAGTCTATCTATAAGGCTAAGCTGGTTGGCCCGGACAATCTCTACCACAATTTATCCGGACACACTATACTTGGCACGTCTAAAGATAACAAGTCCATCAAGATATGATGGCAACACCTTAAAACAGAAAGATAAATGCACGGCTCTCGGCAGAGCCATCAGAAAGGAAGGCCAGCGGTAGCCCTTATGTCGAACCCACCAATATGAGTACCAATTGTTTTCTTATTGAGTCATTGGGCCCGAGATTGTTGTGTTGTGCAGGCTCCTGCAGCCCCTTCCAAGGCAGCAAAGAAGAGAAAGGGAGATGCCGATAGGGAAATTGACACAGTCAAGGAGAAGATCAAGGGGAAAAAGAGGAGTGGCGGTGATTCGGAAGATGGACAGTGGCGAGTCTTTTTCTGTAACTTGACAGATATCTGATACACGTGGCCTCCTCAGAGATGTGAAGCGACCAAAGCTCAAGCCCTTGTTTCCCATGGGTCTGGCTGCTGATTGGCGTACCACAGTCAGTGCCAGTGCCCGCGGTTCCAAGGCCTCCACCACAGCCATCAAGGGGAAAGGCAAGACATTGGACAACAGCAGTATTCCTCTCGGTGGTCTCACCAAGGACGATATTGAGGCATGTGGCCCACCGAGGACCGGCAAGAGCAAGTTAGCAGCGCGTTTTGACTGGGAGTCTTTCAAGAGTGTAAAGGGGCGAGACCTAATGCGGTGAAATGATGTAAGCTGCCATTCTAGATTCAGAATCAGATCTCATTTTCTGCTCCAGGACGTTGTCGTCATCAGCAGCAATGAGGAGGAAAAGCCCACGTTCAAGGCCTGCAAGACACTGTACCCTGGGAAGGTCAAGGTCAAGGCACCTGTGGTCACTACTGCTCTCACCAGCGTCGCCAGCTCCTGCTTCACCGTCGTGGTGACCAGCAGCCCGACTCCCCAGGCCAGCATTCCTGCCCACATCAAGGATCTTTGGAGGTGTGTCTTCCTACCCACTCTTAACAGTCATGTTGGAAGCTCTCAGATGCCCTGGGAGGAAGGAGACTTGGCCTGCATCAAAGATGTCTTTGATATAGTGTACCCCAGGAGCCTGTACAAGCTTGAGATAAGCAACCCAGTCTTTACCAAGGTAATTCTCTGGCCTCCAGTAGCTTTGTACTGATACTGTTTCTACTCCAGGCACAGGACCGTGTTTACGACCATCGGACGTGGTTTGCAGGTCAAGCCGTGGATCATGTGTCTTCCTTCTTCGGCACCAAGGCATTCACCAATGCAAAGAATCCTAAAGCAACCATTGCTGTGTATACCGCCTACACCCTTCAGCCCGATGGTCTCATGCTTTGGAGGAACCCAGCTGATGAAGACAAAGACACCGTGGTACGTGAGCCTTCACCTTACTGGCTCCGCTACTGATTTTGTTTGCATCAGGAACCTGAAGGCCTCTTTGAATCACCGTTTATGGTGGCAATCATGTCGTCATTTGTCAAGGAGATGATGGGCTCACTCAAGGATTATGGTTGTTTGTACGGTGCAATTGGCCTCACCGCTAGCACGGTGCGTTACCTCCCATCTCAAACATGACTTCCTACTGATTTGTTGTTGTTCGCTTGAACAGGTGTTCAGCATGTTCCTCACCGGCGAATTAGTGATGAATGCGGAGCAGTTTTTGCACGAGAACATCTCCACCATCATAGATGATTGTGTCAGTGATGTGAAGCAGCTATCCGAACGTTGCTGGGATTCCATCATGATGGCCTACAGTGCTCCCCTCAAAAAGAAGGTGGTCATGAAAATGGCGGCAATGGAGTCCAAGCATTGCCAGCTCTATCGACCGAGGAGCCCATACTGAGTGAGCACCCGAGTGAGTCAAAAAATTCATGCTCGAGCACATTGTGAGCCAGCTCCACACGCCGACTCCGGAAACTCGTAATATTCCTCATGCCAATGGAAATGACTAGCGGAGAAGGAGGATATTTCCAATGAGCATATTCAGAACATTAAAAATGGATGGCACCGCCGGGAGTCAAACCTGGGTCATCGGCAATAACAATCTGTTGTGCATGAAGGAATCTGCGGTGCAACACCTATGCTACAGCACCGATGGGCACAAAGGTTGTTTGGGGAACACATTCCGTCGATAATAAAAGCATGGAAACACTGTTAGGTCGCCAAATTAGCCTTTCCGCCACCTGAAGAACTCGTCCCATCGACTTCCGCCGTCTGGAGAACACATTCCGTCAACAATAAAAACATGGAAACACTGTTAGGTCACCAATTCAGCCCTTCCACCGCTTATGGAACAGGTTCCATGGCTTGGAAAACCCATCCCGTCACTTGAAAGGTCCTCCCGCCGATACTGAACAAGAAACAACCACCAGGATTGCAGTGGAAAACAAGTCGCATTGGAAAAATAAAAACTGAATCGTTCAAGACAGATGGCCCCGCCAGGAATCAAACCTGGAATCTCCGCAGAAATCTGTGGTCTCAAAAGGCATTCATGGTGCATTAACCCTTACGCTATGGAACCAATATAGAGACGGAAACAGAAGATCATTCTTCAGATTATAAATCCCCTTTGACTGAAACCACACACACATGGATCAATTCCGCCTCGAGGGAACACATGGCGGAATCCTGCCCAGTAATAACGAATGACCAACAGGATTTACTGCGGCGGAATCTCGAACCTGGCACCATTGAAGAAGGCAAGACCATTGGAAGGCGATTCCGCTAAGCGGAAATTGCCTGAACGGGAAGATATAACTGCCGGCTGAACCACAATATCCTAAACGGGTTGATAACCATAGGTTAACATCGTGGAGAGTCCAAATCTGTGGAGGGCTCGTGTTCTGCCATGAAAAAGGGAGAATTCCGCTGGCGGAAGTATGATGCGGGTTCGCTGTGTCAAACTACCACCACGAGGGTCCACTGGCAACCAAGGAGTCGGTTCCGCCAGCTCTGCCAAACTGTTTCATGCACTACGGAGTCAGCGGAGGCTCAACATTACTCTTGGGAAGGCAGTGCACTGGGCTCCGCTGGGGTATAAATATGAAGTAGAATTTGTAGTAATGGTATCTAGTTCTCCCCTTGCAATCTAGGCATTTAAAACTGCTCTAGAACAGAAGGGAACAGTCAACGTAAAGAACCTAAGGTCACCAAGACCGAAGGGAACACCTTTCTTTCCCTTCCGCCTCACTCCACCGCTGCTTCCTCGCAGCGGAGACACTTATACCCTACCCTTATTCGATATTTGCCTCCTCTGTCACCGCATAGGCCCAAGCGGAGCAGAACTCCCACTACAAACAACGCTGCAGACAACTCTGTTGTATTTGTGTGTAGCTGGTAAAACCCCATTGGGACACCTGGTCCTACAGTAGAGCAGGAGAACGACAGCACACTATTCAAGAAGCTTTCAAAGAAGCAGACTCTTTGACGGTGAAACAGTGGCTATGGGTACACTGATGTTCGCGAAGATAATCAGAAAGCTGCTAGACGGCAACTCACCAACTAAAAACACTACAACCAACACACACACACACACACAATTGAGTTCGGGTCGTCCTGCAGTTTACAGGTAAGATTGAACTTCTCAGGTTTGTGTCTCGAAAATGCCAACTCGATAGAAGTCTTATTAGGACTGGTATGAGCACAAAGTAGTCAAAGATTGACCAGGGATTATCTACTTTGACAGAAGCAATATGGGTTTTATATATTTTTCTACTTTGAGACACCACAAAGGCAATCTCGAAGACCTATAAGTCTCTCTAGACTTAGATAGGATTTCCTGCCGTACTCTGATGGAGACCACACTGGATCTAGACTTGTGATCGCGACTGAACTCACTGGAACGGATGCCAACGACCGGGTACTGCGACTGAACTCACTGGAACAGTGCCAACAGCAGACCTGAGGTAACAACCAAACAGGTGCCTTTCACACAAATGTCGCGACTCTCCACGAACACGGCTTAAGTCCTTTAAAGCTTATATATGCCAACAAGACCACTTTATATTTGAACGATAACAACAAAGATAGTTATATATAACGTATCTCCGCGCTAGGCTCAGACCAGCACCAACACCGTTACTTTGGTGGGAGATGCAGTACTGAATCGTGGGATCTGCTAGGCTTTATATACGATACAGGAATTGTAGATAGTAATGAGAAATGAGTCAAGATATAAGAGAGATTTGATGTACACGAAAAACGTGGAGGTATGCCGCTGGTATTCGTAGTACGAGGCCGAGACTAGTCATCTAGATTTGACCAGCTCGAACCCATACTAGGTATATTGGTTTGTTCTCGAGGCCTGCCGGCCCTAGCACGTATGCTAGCCGAGCACGCGCCTCAACTACTGGCCGCGCGACCATGTAGGTCGCGGCATATTGTCTAGCTCTCTATTGGTCGATGTGATACTGCCGTCCGGCCGTATCGACGCGTCTCGCTCATTCCTTCGGTCTAAGCGTCTGTCATCAATTCTGATGACTATCTCGTTATGTGTGATTGCCGTCGTGACACGTCCTTCCATGATCGACACTCGTCGCGATCATTTCCCGACGATCTGTGATGTCTCGGCTTTCTCGGTTTCATGATTCTCGCTCGAACTACTGTTCGCGAACCAAGTTATAGTTGTCGCGACTAGACCCCATCCAGGGTCTAGTGTATATATATGACTTTCCATGCCCAATCTGTGGACTTCATGCAAGTGTCTCAAGTCTAGGTGTTTTTACCTCCTTGATACAGTGTCTAGCTTTTAGTACAACCGACCCTTTTGCGAAGTCAATTCAATACTATGAAGCCCACTGAGTCCCAGACACCGCACGCTAACCCCCAATGGTATAAGGATCAAACCGTATTGTATCTAGAAGACAATAGTCCTCTCGCATCGTGAACACCTAGCCAGCAGCTCGGAGCTCACTCTGACTCTACTTGTATATCACCGGATAGAGGCTCTAGTTGGCGACTAGAAGTGCAAAAATGCACGATTACACCGGCACGCAGTTACGAGCCGTATCAACGGAAAAAGGGAATTCTCCGTAGAGGCAGAAGAAAGGAACGAAGCAGAGAGGGATTGTGTGGAATAATGACAATCACAGCGGATGTGCCCTACATTTGTGTTTGGTAACACTCCGAAGGAGGGAAATACTACGGCGGAGACTTAAAACAGGACCAACATACCTCAGACTAGCACCAGCACTTCCCTCCGCATTGCACCGGGACTGACCTCTCTCGTTCTCGAGTGTAGAACGGAAAAGCAGTGTTACTGGAAGGCTTTTCTCTCCCACAGGGAAGGAATCAGCAACCTTAGGATTCCTCCGTTGCGAGACGGAGTAGTTTGTACACCACCACATTTATAAAACATGAATTCTGCGGCCGTTGAGAGACTTCAGACACACAAATTTCCCCCTAGAGGACGAACTGCTGAGTCTGCCAAGCAACAAACCGACTTGCCAGCAATAGCAACGCAGTCCAAATCACAGCATCTCATACATCTAGTGTAGTTGTCTTCCAATTGGTCTCCCCATGCTTGCTCCAGTCCTATCCTTACTGCCCATACCACATTCCTTGCCATTGAGCCTCTGTTTGTCACCCAGCCCTTGTGTCCTGTCCTTACTCAGCTCGCCCGGTCGGTAGCTAATGATACCCTGGTTTCTATTCCATTAAAGAATATGTATTCCAAAAAATTAGCTACTAAAATGACCATCCTGTGATCTTGTTTCACTCGTGGGATCCTGCGCAGAGTCATCTTGTGACAATTTCGATATAGCCTATGGTCTGGTGATCTGGCGTCCTGTTTAGACCTGTACAGGATCAGACAAGCTTGCACAAGCATGCACAAGCAAATTGCCAAAAACCTAATGTGCTTGCCAGGGTATAAAGCCCCGAATCAGATGAGAAAGGTTTCCATCTTTGTACATTGAACATCCTATCTTATATACCGAGCCGGAATGACCAAGGACAAAAAGAACTTTTGCTCCATATGCTGGCTATGGTTCAAAATACTATCTGAAACTTCACCAAAACACTTGAAATAAATCATAATATGGGGTATTAACACTATCTGATCCTGTCCATTTCCCACTAAATGATCTCCTTAATGCCCTATTCATGAAATAGGCAAAAGGTGTCATTAAGCATTTTCGAGTTTTATCATCATATATTGGCCTGTCTTTTGACCCAAAACTGGTCATATAGCCCAGGAAACTCAGTAAGAACCTTCAGAACATCATCCATGACCCTGTGACATACTGAATATGGTGAACAAGAATACAAAACCATCAGCCTGAAACATGGGGTACAGGGTGTCAATTGCCTACTTTACTACTATGAATACATCATCCAATCCTAAAGGATGTGTTTTGGGATATCTCACATGATGGAGGACCTAATAAGATCAAAGTGCAATTTCTTTGTATGACCAAATTGCGATGTTTTTCATTGTTAGAATACATTAAATTGCCTGGAGGGTCTCTTTGTAGCTTGAAGGAACAAGACATTGCACTCAGGAGCCATTTCCATCGGTATATCCCCAGGATATTATGGCCAGGGAACAATTTATCAACTTTGCTATTTTCACCCTATTACTGCAATGTAGTAGGCTCTAATGTATCCTAGTTGGCTTCAAAGAACCTAGAACAACATTCCTATCCAGCTAGAACATCCAAAATGGTTGAATTGTGAGCCAGAGAAGGGTCAATGTAGCAAACTTCCTTTTTGGGATGAAAGTGTTAGTGTCCCAAAAAGGAAAGTCATCGGCCAAACCTTTGATCCCTATACCCAAATTGTAGAGCTCATCAAGGGCTACAAGAGTCATCTATAGCATTTTGTGATTGGCAGCCTCATTGGCCTGCAAAATGCAAAATACTTTCCAAGAGCCGGTGCTTTTTGAACAGATGTTAGCATTTAATGCAACCAGGCATCAATTGCAACCTCAATATGGGCAGCCATCATTTGTCAGGCAGCTATAGCACCCAATACAGACAGCCATCAATTTCAAGGCAATGGCAGGACCCATCAATTCCAATACAAATAGCAGAAATATGATTTAATTATGACTTATACGTTACCTATTCTAACTAGAATGGTAGTATGGGTAGAAGGAGAAGAGTGGTGATTTTTTTTTCCTGTATTTTACAATATTTTTTGGTGAATTTCCTTTTTAGGTGTCTCATCTAATGGCAACTGGGTAAGAGTGGTTTTTTTTTTTTTTTCTTATTTTTTCTTGTATTTTACAATATTTTTTAGTGGATTTCCTTTTTTAGGTATCCCACCCTGGCAGGATTAAGTAACATGTTCTCTCTTTAAAGCTTCAAGTCGCAGAGGTGAATATGCTGCATGGAAGGAGTTATTATTTTTATTTTTATTGTATTTTTTCCTGTATCTTACAATATTTTTTGCTGAATTTCCTTTTTTGGATATCCCACCTCCACTGTCAGACGCTCTTCATATTTTTTTCTTCTATTTTTCTTGTATTTTCTTGAATGTTTCCTTTTTGAGCCATTCTAACTCCCACTATTGAGCCAACAC